CTTCTTCGTCTCAAGGGCTTCCTTCCGGGCTTCTTGAAGTTCCTTGTCGGTCGCTGCTTTCCTTTCCTACTCCTTCTCTCGCTTGATTGCAGCGAAGTGTTGGCGGCGGCTCAAAGCGTCGCCCTCGGGGTTGAGGCGAGACATCACCGCGGGGCTGCACACGGGGTTTTCAGAGTCCACGGTGACGTCCCCGCCCTTCCGCTTTTTAGACGGCCCGTCCGAAGAGTCGAGGTGCTTCCACTCCGACGGGGCCTGACCGCTCCACGGGCTGTACGCCGCTGTGAGAAGCAGGAAGGGGAAGACCCACCACTCAGGCACCTCCTCGCCCTCGCGCTCGCCCTCGTCCCCGCCCTTATCCTGCTCTCGCTCCTGCTCCCGGCCGATGTTGGCGGCGGCGGCCAACGACATCGGCNTGAAGAGTCGAGGTGCTTCCACTACGACGGGGCCTGCCCGCTCCACGGGCTGTACGCCGCTGTGAAAAGCAGGAAGGGGAAGACCCACCACTCAGGCACCTCCTCGCCCTCGTGCTCGCCCTCGTCCCCGCCCTTATCCTGCTCTCGCTCCTGCTCCCGGCGGATGTTGGCGGCGGCGGCGGCGGCNGTCCCTGACCTGCAGGTGGACTCCCTGCTCTGTCAACGCTCTCCCCGGTGCCCGCCCCGGTAGCGGGGGAGCCGGCTGGGGAGCCGGCGGCGTCGACGCTCCCCGCCGCCCCCCGAGAGAGGAAAGCCGCAACCTCAGCGCCTGCCTTGTCCGATCTAGCCTTGTTTCGCTTGTACATGTCCGACTCGAACCACATGGTGTCGTTGAGCTCCTCTGGGGAGTCCTGAGTGTTGGTCCCAGACGGCAGCTCAGACGGTGTGTTCTTGTCGTTCCTGACATAACAAAAAACGCACAGGGAACAAAACGGATTCGCTGTGAGCGGATACGTAATATACAGCAGTGTTTTCGACCACGCGTAGCAACAAGTTTTCAACCTTTAGTGTTGCCGCTGTTCCGGCTTCGTTATTTTTTGCTCACGACGAGGCACGCCCAACTACGTCATGTCATTCATTTTGCGCAGAGCAAAACTAGGGGGTGGGAAGTACAAACTATATACCAGCAGTAGGCTGGTGCTTTTCGAGTAGTGGGGGGGGTGGCAATCATCTAGCAGAAAAGCAATATGTGCCCTTTAAACGTTCCTTTCCTGTTTTTGAATTGGCAACTCAAAGGCACGCGTGTGATAGGTGACCAGACTAGCAGGGAAGACACACCACAGCAGAAGGCCCTCGCACAAAAGTATCGAGAGGTGCACAGCAGTGCATGCACCTCCAATGGTGGCGNTAACAAAAAACGCACAGGGAACAAAACGGATTCGCTGTGAGCGGATACGTAATATACAGCAGTGTTTTCGACCACGCGTAGCAACAAGTTTTCAACCTTTAGTGTTGCCGCTGTTCCGGCTTCGTTATTTTTTGCTCACGACGAGGCACGCCCAACTACGTCATGTCATTCATTTTGCGCAGAGCAAAACTAGGGGGTGGGAAGTACAAACTATATACCAGCAGTAGGCTGGTGCTTTTCGAGTAGTGGGGGGGGTGGCAATCATCTAGCAGAAAAGCAATATGTGCCCTTTAAACGTTCCTTTCCTGTTTTTGAATTGGCAACTCAAAGGCACGCGTGTGATAGGTGACCAGACTAGCAGGGAAGACACACCACAGCAGAAGGCCCTCGCACAAAAGTATCGAGAGGTGCACAGCAGTGCATGCACCTCCAATGGTGGCGTCTAGTAGCGTGTTGGTGTGGCTCTCTCTTCCAAGAAGGGCCTCTCTCGCTGATTCATGCGAAAAAAAAACCGCTGCTGGCAAAAAGCGCGCAACAACAACGACGAACAACAACCAAACGCTTCTTCTCTTCTCTCTTCTCTCGCTTACTCCACCGATAGCCAACAGCAGTAGTACAGGGCACACCCTCCCGTCTCGCTCTCCCGGTGGTGTGTCTCCCTCCTCCCTTGTCCATGTCTCTGTCGCAATGTGTGTGTTTGTATTTTGATTTTTGGCATCGACCGCGCTAACCGGCTGACCAATGAAAGTGTGTGTGTGTCTTCATCCTCCCGTTTTATGTAGACTACTTGACGACAAACACACGCACGCACACACATGCTTGACCAACACAGGCATGTAGAACCCTCGTGATTTTACGAATATCCTCACGTCAAGCACCGTCGATTTTGTTTTCCACACACGAAATTAGGGTTGCATTGCTTTCGCCTCCCGGTTTTCGGAGTGTGCGACGCCACGAGAGAGGGAAATACGCTGCACTGAGAATCCGACTTTCCCGCAAAACCTACGTGTAAAGCCAGAGCCACACTCTCGTGTACTCGGCCTTGTAGCTCTTGAACTTGGTCAGGACCGTCGACGGTTGCTCCATGAAGGTCTTCGCCTTGGAGGTGCCTGCGATATATTTCAAACGGCAACAGCGCGTGTGGGAGCGAGAGGAACTCCGCTATTTGTGTGCATTTTTGCAGGCGGAGCAGCACCTTGTCTCGTGGTGAACGTGTCGTCAACGTGTGCCCTCTTGCCTCTGATTCAGGCATGGCAGCGAATTCGTTCGGGGCTGGAAT